CTCAAAGCTGTCCAAGTTAAGTAGTGTAGCATCATCAACCACTAAAATCACAAACTAATCATTTAAGTAGGTGTTTTAAAACATTAAGCAATGATTAAATTGATCTTTTCTAAATTTTGATGCTATTCAAATACATAAGTACAAGCATTACTTGTTAATCTATTTGTATTTTAGATGAATGACATTCATGTTTTGTCTTTTAATGATTTTTGTTAGAAAAGTTTTTATTTATATGAGATTCTGTTGACTTTGTTTGCAGTTCAAGAATTTGCTGGTTTGCTACTATTGGTGGTTGATTTCGACTCACAGTTGAAGGAAGCAATTATTCAGGTAATGCAATTTCAAAGAACCACATATTCARTTGCTTAACTGATTCGAACTCTATCTGCATAGTAATGCCCTCTTATMTGAAAACTAGAACCAAAACTAAACAAAATCTTCATATCCAACGATTAATAGGATCCTCTTCGTATCAAAGTCTACTGTTGCAGCATCTGTATGTCTTCCCTGCAATAATACAAGACTATTATAAGAATCTTGGATGATGGTCTTATAATTGATAAGAGTTACGTTACGCGGTATATAAAGTCGATTTACCTAGATTGATTAAGTTGTCAATTGAATAACTGGCAACACATTATGAAGCATCATCTTTCATTCAGCAATTAGATACACTGGATTAATTCCAAACTAAAGCGCAATCATTGAGTTGGTTTGAGATTTAAGGTGATCAAGGGTCCAAATCCCTTCTTACACTTCTCACCTTAACTCCTATTTTCACACGATCCTTCATATCATGCAAACTATTATTAACTCTCATGTATACAAAACAGCTTACCATATCCAGTCGCACAGACTGCAAGATTTGTCGAACCCAACCAGTATATCGGATGCTTATCACCTAATCAGTGTCCACCAGTTCCATCCTCCATAATTACGTCTAATGGTTGGTGTTGGATATGAGTTGAATTGGTGCTCGCTAACTTTGTAGGTTTAACTGATACCTGAGGAGCATTATGTCCCCTTTGTGCACGATACACCCTATCCTTTTCAACAATTGCCGCTACCTTTTGGTTACACGCATCAAGTCCTGAATTAATTAAATCATAGACATTATTCCAAAATTAGGTAGGCGTTAAACCTCTTGCCCACCTCTCTTCATCGTCTCCGGCTCCTGCTATGTAATCCCAACTAAATTCCGAGCTCATTTTTTGTCGATATATATCTCTTGCAGCAGATGCATAAATAAGGATTATGGGTGTGAAATCCCAAGAATCATAATCAGGAACTTCATTTAACCATATTCTCTGTTAATAGGTGTTGTAGATCAATCACCATTTTCTTGGTTATTTTTAAAGCTTTTACTGTATCATCTTTTGTCACCATAGTCTTTCAACCTTTTCTGCTTCCAAATTACAACCATATTCTCTATTTAACTTGTAGTTTCTCTAACAAATGATATTGACAATATTGATGCTAATATCGATATCCTTTACTCTACAAGATAGCCAAGTCCAAATCCATTACAGCTTCAGGCTTTACACTTGAACTTGAATATACATTGTGTTTGATCCAATTGTAATAGATGGTTCTGCATGCTTGGACACAAAACTATTTAGTTTACAAGATAATTAATTATCTACCTCAAAAATGGAAAGTTTACATATGTATTCTATAGTGGTTAGTCTTTTGATATGAAAAGTTTCTATATGTTGAATAGTACTAGATTCTTTCACCAGGAGTTTCCAACTCCATCTTCTCTTAACATTGGTTGATTTGGTTTATTTTGATYAGATCTGATTAGTGTTTTCTTGCTACTATTCTGGTTTCTTATTTTGGGACTGACTTTCTCCTAATTTTCCCATTTTTTTGTCTGTTGTTTCTTGTTACCTGTGTCTGCCCATTTGTTGCATCTGTTGGTTTGCATAGTTGATAATTTTAAATCAAAATTCAAGGCATTGTGCTTCATCTGTTGTTTACTGAGCTGAATTTTGGGCTTTATCAGGTTTTGATTTTCTGGTTGATAAAGAAAGTGTGTGCTTTTATGGGTGCATCAAAACATATCTAACAGAAGCTTGGTTGGGATGAGTATTGAAGATAAAATGGTGGAAGTTTGGAGAATGGTTCCTATTTATGACTGTATTAAATCATATCTTTATGTAATTCTTTTACTATATTCCTCTTCATATAACTTACATATCCTTTTTATTCATCTACTGTAGTTAGTGACTTGTAAATATTTCAGTGTATCTTCAAGTTACTTTTATATCCCTTTTGTTTATCTACTGTTTACTTATATTTATACTACCTTTATAAACCAAATTTCATAAAAGTCTTAAATATGATAAATAAGAGTTATTGGTATGGTATATCATATAATTGYTTATTAAAACAACTTATTGACTTATTCCGGTGTGACATCGGTAATAAGCCTTTTGAGTGTTTGGATAAACAACTTATACCGGTGTCAACCCGGTAATAAGGAGTTTTTGAAAAGGTTAAACCCTTCTGACTTATAATAAGTTGATAAATGTATTTGTAGAAAAGAATAAGTTGTTTCAAATAAGCTATCCCAAACACCCTCTAAGCGGAGGTTGTTGGACTTGTGCAATCTTGATCACTCTTAACATAAGTCAAGTCCTGCTTTCTTTTGAGATCGATAGATAGTTCCATAATACGACATCTCATGCATAACCAAATTAGAATCAATCGGTTGTCAAATTTCAACATCAAGTAATTTATAATATTGCTTCAGTTTCTCTCAAATCTTTGTCCATAATCGATATGTCCGCTTACATCTTTTTAAATTTTACATCCCGCCGCTTTACGCGGGTACATAACTAGGGTAAGGAATGGGAATGAATAATAGTGTTTGATTCAATATAATCTATAGTACCTTATAAATCAGATATATCAAAATTCTTAAAAACAATTTTTAATGTACAAAGTACTATACATTTATGCACAAAGTCTTAAAAGTCTTTAAAACAACTCATAATTCATTAAGTACTAATATTTTATGCATTCAGTCTTAAAATCTCTTAATCTACAATTAAAATAACATATAGTACAAGTTACCAATGCAGATTATTACCTTTTCTTTTCAAGTTTCCAAGATACTTTTGACATTTTTCACTTATGCCTTCACCCTCTCATACCTCTATGTCTTCTCCCCACCTCCCAATGTGAGATTCAAACCGACATTCATCATGAGTTATTAAAAGTTCTCTCATTCATCTATCATTCAATTGCTCTAAAACTCTTTGTCTCGCTCTCGATTTCTTGATTCTTTGCTCTTGGTGTAAATCGAACACATTTGTGAAGTCATTTAAATATGTTGAATTTTAAATATATTGGATTTTAAACTGTCATACATTTTTTTCATCGATAGACTGTAATTGGAAGTTTGGAACCGTAACTCTTATATATTCAAATTGTATTAATATATAAAGACCAAGTGTAACTTATATCATCGTTAAATCTTCTCTAATAAAACCAGTGAAATTTCAAAATCGTTAAAATTCACGGTTCCCGCCGCATTGCGTGGATACACACCTAGTATATTATTAGAAAGTTTTTGTCAAAACAAATAAACTTACACCAAAATAAAAAGTTTATATAATTTCCGATTTTTATTTGATCTTTTTTCTATATGTTTTTTTATCATTAATATATAATAAGTTACATAAATTAATAAAAATATAGAAATAGTATAAAGAACATGAATCACACTTGATATGGACTCTTGATCAATTTTAATCTCAAACCGGCCCATGAATCACGCTTGATATGGGATTGATTTGGTACATCTCATCTCGATACATATCATTCTAATATGCATCTAAGGATGGATGAAGCTGCATATCTATCCTAACATACACTTGACTTTGAGCCAATGCAGGGACGGACCCAGAAATTTTTTCATACGGTGGCACTGTTTGAATTTCAGGAAAATACGGTAGCACCTTCCAAAACGATACGGTAGTACCGTTAACAAACCTAAAATTTTTACCTTTCGGTGGCGAAATAATATGGTGGCACGTGCCACCATACCACCACACCAGTCCGCCCCTGAGCCAATGTGTATACACCACAAGTTTTCTCATTCAGAGTTCTTTTCATTCTTTTTCAGAAGTCTCCATACTTTTTGCACAAACATTTTTTTTTCTCTCACACTTTTCATAAGTCGGGGTATTTACAGAAACAATCATCTTCTCCGTGGGCCCCATCCTCGGATGGGATATAAGGGGATAGTTTTGGTTGGTTTGGTTAATTTGTAACCATAAACCAAGTAAACATATGATAGGCTTGTTTTTGACTTGTCCTCCATACTGCACCATATACCTTCCTTGCATAGCCACTAGGCCAATGTTCAGATACAACTTAACAATGCATATTCTCTTGCTGGTTCTTGGCAATCCAATGTGTGGGTCTACCAATCCTTGTAGTTCAATCTTTTAGAGATTCTTAAAATCTTGAACTTCAACTGCAAGTCCTGAAATGTATAAAGTCACCGAAAGTACAATCAAAGAATACTTAAAACGATAAATATGATATATATAATTCAATCAACAACTTATAGCCACTTCCCAGTTACCATGTCACTGGCATGCATGCCTTGTCTTTTTAATATATCTTAGACATTTGTTTAATTAGGGGACTGCATCAGTATCCTATCTAAATTTTATAACTAGGACCAACTTGATTGATTATATATATATATATATATATATATATGCACTTGTATGATGTAATATAGCTAGTTTCTGCTGAGATTCAACCTAGAGAAATTTGTATGTCGATTGAAAATATGAAGTAGATGGATGGTTGTCTAATGCATTCTAGTTGATGCTAATACTCCCTCCCTCCCTCCCAAAATAAGTTTCCATGTTTGTAATTTAGTTTGACCCAACATAAGTGTCCACTTTCAAAATTAAGTATCCACTTTTGCCATTCTACCGTTAAGTATTAGTCGACTGTTTCAATATTGCACATTTGGGACATAGGAGGTATTCATAGGCTGTTTCAAAATGACACAGATAGCAGAAGAAAAGACTATCTTGAGATATGTGTTCCTCTTTATGAAGCTTCAATGCCAAAATCATCCTTGACAAACTCCCAGAAGTGGTACGCTCTAGTATCACTGAAAATTATGAAACTGCACTTCACGTTGCGGCATCACTAAAAAAAACTTGTTTTGTGAAAAAGCTGGAGGACATGATGATAGAAGAGGACGTGGAACTGCAGAATAAAAATTTGAATACAGCCTTGTCTTTAGCAGCTGCAGCTGGCACAGTTCATGACATCGCTAAGATTATGGTTGAAAAGAAGAGGGCCTTGCTGACAATCCCCGGTAGTCAAGCAATGATGCCACTATATGTGGTCGCCGTATTTGGAAAGAGTGACATGGTGATACGGTAAATCCCAGAGGTTACTTGATGATGGTTGGACACGACAGAATCGAGGTTGGCTTCTTTCAAAATGCTTCGAGTATGATCTCTTTGGTAAGTATTGCAATAAATTAGTATTACACATATGACATGTGTTGTTTCTTTTTTGTGGTCATAATCTGTTTATGTGCCTTTTGGTATTTTATCTTTTTCTTCTTCCACACACTTGAATACAAATACATCCTTGGTCCCAAAAATACAAGATTTCTTCTCAAGCACCTATCTAGAACTAATAATTCTTCTCATAATAAATGCAAAGATTTTCTAAGTGGCATTTTGCTCAATGGTACTATTTGAGCTCTACAACCCTCAGGTTTCATGTCTCTTTCTGGGAGTTCTATTTGCCATTTGAAAAGAGAAGAAATGCAAAGACTTTCTACAATGTATCCTTGGTAAACCTACCTAAAAACCCAAATGGTTGTTATTTGTGACTTTCTGATCAATGTTGGCAAGTCTATGTCTTAACATCTGTTTTGATAAATAAACAGGATAAATGGAATAATTATCATCCTTACATGCAAAGTGCTGTTGTCAATCTTTTTCTGCAAACTATTTTAAGCTTATTTGTTGCCTGGAAGTGGTGGTTGCTTGCCACTGCTTACGTGAACTACATTTATGAACTTCCATTTTCTGCTCAAGTTCATATTTGGAAACACCACTGTAAATCATAATATGTTATTTCAGCTATTGTGTTTTCTCTTGGCTATTTCATTCTCCACCTGCATAACTAAAACTGCTGCAACTTTTGTAACACGATGCATTGGCCTATGACTTGCTGGTCAAGCTCTGAGAAGATTTTGAAGCTTTTGAATCTAGGTGTCTGTTTAATTAGAATCTGAACATATGACCTCAGTAATGTTATACTTTTTTATACGTGTTCATAAGTTAAGCATATTGGTTGTTTCAGTTTATGTTTTCAGGCCACTTAACCAGCATTAGTTTGTATCCAGAAACTTCTTTAACTAATTTCCGAAATAGAACTTCAATCTTCCCTCGAAAACAAGTTACAGAAAACATAATTTTAACAAAATTTAGTGAAGGTGGGCCTTTTGGCATGCCCGTCTGTGAGTCATGCATGATACATACATAAATTATAGCAGGAACATATGAAACTAACCATAAGGTTATCTGCAAAACATAACATATTAATAGTTGTTTTGTTAACCATTTGCTTGTACGGCTATTTTCCATCAAGGTGTAAATGGTTCACTTTATAAGGCTGCAGATGGTTTGGTGTTGTCACCTTTCCATGGATAAGTCACATAGCCAATTTTAGCATTACTGTTGCTCAATTCTCAACTTCAAACCTACCAAATAAAAGAGAAAAGCATGATCTTGCAGTATGGTTTGCTCTTTGGCACTGCAGTAGTTCTATTAGGCTTTTTGCAGTATTACAAAATGGGACTAGTTATTATACTCGGCTTGGTCATGTCTCTAAAACCCTGGGTGGATTCACCTTGTAATTCCAATTGGTTTCATTTTTAGCCTACCTACCTAGTGTTGTAAAAGGATTATTGATTTCTGATGTTTATGATGCATACATCGCCCATTTTGTGACAGTTTCTCACTTTGAATTCAATCTCATTTGCCCACACCATTTCACTCTTGATCACTTCCTCTTCTTCGTGCTCAGATTTTTAATTCATTATTTATGCTACACAATCTATATATTGAAGCAATACACAAATAAACAAGGGAAGGTAGCAAATTTTAACCCCTAGTTTGATCTGTTATATTTGATATTCTCCCTGTCACCTTATTCCTTTAAAATTTGCAAGTATATCTACATAGGTGAGGGTTCGAATAAGAAAGATAAAAATGTTGAGAAGTA